AACTGGCATTAAAAAAATTATTATATCTTTTACATGGATAAAAATAACAAAACAAGACTAACTGGACTGAAAAGATGAAGGTGGGGACTACATTTCCTGAAAGTTTCAGATTTTTATTTTTTCCTCAACATAATGATTTCTGAGGGCAAAATTTGCTAATTTTGAGAATTGACAATTTGCAATAATTTTTTTAATAAAGAAATTGATAGTCTAGAAACTTAAAATAATAGTTACGTTTTCTATTGTATAAGTACTTTATACGTGAAAAAAATGAACCTTCTAAATTCAGTAGAATAGATACAGGAGCCAGACAAAAATCACAAAAATTGGCAAATTATCATGAATCTTTAGTGGTTTACCATTCTTTTATGAGATTAACTAATTGGATAATAATAATTTATATCGAAAACACACTTACTGGACAGTAAAACAAAATTAAAATTATTTCAATATTTGTCACAGAAAAAAAGTTCTGGCCCACTATAAGAGAGTAAGAAATTGACACTATTTCAGACTTCTAAGGGGTGCCAAATAAAAGTAAAGCAACAAAAAATTAAAACGGCAACGGATTTTCATATTTGACACCTAAAAGATCATCCTCAAAATAAAAAATCACGCAGCGCACCCCATTTGGTGTTTTTATTTGGAATGACTCTATACGAAAATCGGCAAACATGGTTAATCGTTAGAATAAATCGTAATCGCAATCGTAATCTTGTCATATGACACGATGATACCATGATGCGATACGAATACGATTAGTGCACTTCTCAAAACTTAAAAAAAATGGCGAATGCGCCGGGATAAATGAGGAGTTTATATTATGTCAATGGCATACTTTGCAGTTTGAAATGCTATGGCTATAGCCATATATAGTTATGGCTATATCCATATATGGCTATGATAATTGAGGGGCTTGGAAGTAAAACGGTTCAAGTGCACTTTTTTAAATAAATTGTTTAAGTGCAGAATATCACACCTAAAGAATATTCTAACTTAGTGGTAAAATTTTACAAAAAGTACATTTTACATTCCCTTGCGCCATTTCTTATCGTCTTTAAATACCTGTCAAAATATTTTAAAATATATCTTTGGTAAAACGATTTAAGTGCACCTTTTACTGCTAAACATAGGCTATTATCTATGCTGCTAAAGCCTTGACAAGTATTTTAAAACATGTCAAGTGATTACGTGTTTTCACAGATATTTTTCAGTGTTTGTCCCTACTGACATTGATTCGACGTCGGAATAGAATCGGCCATAGGATGTCGGCCAGCAGACGTCGAATTCTGATTATGAATAATACTTTTTGTTGTAAAACCTAAATTTTAAAAAATAAAGTTTAGTTCTAGTACAGTAATTGCATTTAAATCATTTTACCACTAAATTTTGTCTTACATGCATGACGAATTAAGTACATTTTTGTAAAAAAAATTAACAAAAAAGCTAAATTGAAAAATTCCTTTTTCTTTATAATCCTTTTTTGTCTTAAAACAAAACTAAAATATTCACACAGTTTTTTAAACTCTTTTCTAGAATTTTAAAATTCAAGTTACCTTTAAATCCATTTATCTCAGAACTAACAAAAATGCACTTAAACCCTTTTACTTCTAGGCCCCTCAATTGTAAACTGAATTCAGCTGCCTTAAGCATGTTATGCTTAGTGGACAATCATTTAAATAGGTAGGTACTGCGTTTTGAAAGATGGCTTCTCAAATAATAATTATTTTTTTGAATGAACTAGGAAAAAAAGATCATATGAATATCGTATTATGAACCTAAATATTTCGAAAAAAAATTAATAGTCATGTCACTTTTTTAGGTAGTATTGCCCACTTATTGCAAACTGTGCACATGTGTTTTACAGAGTTTAATGATCTACCTATAGTAAACGTAGCGTTCCTGTATAAAACATTTTACCGCACTCCCTAAATAACAGCCTCCGATACGAATGCGTCGGAGCTTGGCGCATTTTAGTCTAGTAAGCTTTGCGGCGTCGAAGTGGAAGCGTCGAAGGCGTCGGCGTTCTCTGCGACGTTTTAATATACAATGTTTTGTAAGTTTACAAGATCTTTTATTATCTTAATAACCCACACTTACACCAACACTACGTATTTACACCTTACAAAATAACAATTTTAAAGATTAAAATTTATATTTTGTGTAAGGATTACTTAATGTAATATTTAACCTATGTAGTGTCTACCGTAGGACTGAGCTAATTTTTAAATGTCAGAAAAAATAAAAATCAAATGGGGCTAAATATAGGTAATGCCGCATTACTAATGCGGCAAAAGCTTGGGTTTAGTCTTTATGGACCACTATATTCTAGTTAAATTTATTGGTTGCATCTCGGCATAGTTACTTAAAATCGATCTTTGGGATGCTGTGACCTTGTCGTGTAAAATTGTTTAAATGTTTATCATGCCCTTTGTATACTCTATTTTATAGTTTTATAGCTTAAAAATGTATTTTTATCAAAGATATCGACTATGCATATTATATATGTATATTATACATGTAGGTATATATAAATAGTAGAATAATATATTATAATTAGAATAGAATGGAATTTTACTAAATTAATAATTTTTCAAAGTAATTGACAGATGACCTTAATTTAAAATTTCAATTAATGTGTCAAATGTATCATTTATTTCATAAATTGCTTTTCTACAAGCTTGTAAAACTTTACAGGTCTTTTATACAATTATACAAACCTGTAAAGGGCTTAAGCCCTTTACAGGTCTGTTCCCATAATGTGTCGTTTACTTGGATACAAAAACAACAAAATTAACCTATAAAATGTAATTTACTAAGAAGGTGGAAATAAAATATCAAATAAAATTGGATTTAAACTCTTTATGGTAGTTTAATACACTGCCCGTCAAAATTAACGCATAATAAAAAAAAAATTCCAACTCTAAAACGCCTTTACCAATCTTTATAAAATTTTGGATAAAAATACTTTAATTTATATCTCAGTTTACGTTTTTAAGGGTTTTTCGAAAAAATATCCTTAAAGCCCTTTTTTTATATTTTAAAAACGCTCAAAAAAAAAACTTTTATAGAGAATTTTTTTTAAGTAAATAAAAAATATGCTGTTAAATACCGTATTTTTGTTAGTATACCCTGAAAATTTTGTACAAATCAAACGAACAGTAACGAAGATACAGCGCTTCAAAGTCGGTAAAAATTACCACTTTTCAGCAAAATAATCAAAAAGGGGTCATTTTTACCGACTTTGAAGCGCTGTATCTTCGTTACTATAAGTTTGATTTGCACAAAATTTTCAGGGTATACTAACAAAAATACGGTCTTTAACAGCATATTTTTATTTACTTAAAAAAATTCCCTATGAAAGTTTTTTTTTCGAGCGTTTTTTAAATATTAAATAAAAGCGCTTTAAAAATATTTTCTCGAAAAACCCTCGAATACGTAAACTGAGATTTAAGTTGAAGTATTCTTATACAAAATTTCATAAAGATTGGTAAAGGCGTTTTAGAGTTAAATTTTTTTTAATTTTGACGCGCAGTGTATTATGTGCGACTAGTCGCACAATACTGCAGGGTGTCTCAGATTTTAATCGAGACATAGTAGTCAACAGAACCCCCAAAAATAAGAAGAAAAGTGTACCTATGTGAATTAAATTTTGTAGCAAACAAAAAATATTTTTTCTTAAAAAAAAACTCCTTGGCCGAATTTAATATTACTTTTTGGGTTTAATTAAATGTAAATAAATTTAATATAGTTAATCCAGAGGCGGAGATCCAACTGGATATTTAAAAATAGAATGTGGGTACTCTACTGCTTTTTTATAAGTTTATTAATATTTTTAGATTACAAAATTAAAAATACAACTGTTTAACTTTTAAGAAAGAAAAAAAATTTGTTTATTTACTAGCCCCTGAAACAATTATGGCCATAAGCGGGCGAATTTAATTTTTTTCTTAAAAATTAAGCTAGATAGAAAAAAATGCAACAGACAAAAAAGTTGTTTTTCAATTGCTTAATCTCTATAAAATTAAACTTATAAAAAAGCAGTGGCGTGACCATACTTTTTTATTAACTTTAACACCCTGCAGGGTGTATTTCACGAAGTTCATATAAACTTTTCTGCTGTATACTATTCTTTTTATTATCTACCTACTACATAGTTAAATATTTTTTTCTACCCCACCTTTAAAACGCCCATTATTGTATATGTTTCCATGACACATTGGCAAGTTGGGGCTTTATGGCGTTTTAGGCACGATCTGAATTAACCAAAATTTCAGGTTAATATCTCTTTTATTTCCCTACAAACCTCTAATGAATCAGTTAGGTAAATCAATCTGTATACTCTAGAATTTTCTGTGTTGATAAATTAATATATTTTTTCTTTAAACGAACGGCCGAGTTTTTCATTTACAGTTATTTTCAAAAATGGCGAATGCGACAATATTTAATTGTTTTTTACAAAAACCTATTTTTAATCGATATTTATTTTATTATATTGTGTGGAAGTTACACAGTGTGCCCAAATTAATCATCAAAAAGATCAGATAAAAATATACCCGTTTCCATAATAATTTCCGCATTTGACCTAAATATGTCACTACCCTAAAATCTCACCCTAACAATATTTCGATACAACTACTTAAATATAATCAATAAATACTGATTTATTTATCTATAAAACACTCTTGACTCTTCATTTTTGTTAATTAAAACTGGCAATTAGATAATGGAATCTACCTTGCCTTAAATGTTTGATCAATAAGAATGCGGGAAATTTTGCTCTAAAGGATTGTGCAAGCAAAATCTAAACATAAATAAAATCAGAAACAACCTTTAATTTTTCTTCACTGCTTTAATTTCATCATAGTTCAGGTAATAATTTCAAAAATTAAATATAGAAATAAGTATGTAATGGTAAACTAATTAAAAAAGAGCATAATTTTAAAAATCAATATTTTTATGTATTTTAGGACGAAAAGTATTAAAAACCCAAATCAAAAATGGCTGTCGATATCCTAGATGAAGATCATTTCGCAATAAGCGCCATAGTAATCGTATCTATGCAAGTGATATTTTTTATAATTGCAGCCACTTTCCAAATGGATAAAATTACTGATTTTGCTGGAGGCATCAATTTTATAGTATTAGCATTACTTACCTTTTTCCTGGGACAAGGAAAGGTGCAAACAAAGGTAACAAATAATTAAGTGAGCTTGGGACACGGAATTTAAAATTTTTTTTTAGAAAGGCTACGATAGCCGACAACTTATGGTTACTATTTTCGTATGCTTATGGGGAATGAGATTGTCTGGATATCTTTTGTATAGGATAATAAAAATAGGAAGAGACAAGCAGTTTGAAGACAAAAAAAGTAACAATATACGTTTTGCAATTTTTTGGACCTTTCAGGTAGGTTGAAATATAAGTTTTTTTAAGAATTTAAATCTGGAACTAGAAAAAAAACAGTATTTAAGAGTAATTCGAGTAAAAATGTAAATTAGTTTTATAAATACTTGACAGCCAAGATTTAGAGAATATTTTGCAAAAATAATCACTACTGTGTAGCCTCATTTCCTATTAAGTTAATGTTTAACAAAATAACATTATGAAAAAAACATCTATATACAAATGTTGTGTTTTGTGTGATTGAATTAGTAACTGTTTTAACTTTTAGGTGTAGCACAAACAACACGTTGTTGATTAAATTTAATACCCTGAAATCTTGGTTATTTAGAATCAATAGTATATTTTAATTTTTTTTTAAATATTAGTTAAATACTTTATACAAATTTTGTGATTTGTGTGATTAAATCAGTAACTGGTTTAACCTACAGGTGTAGCAAAAACAACACGTATACGTGTTAACTATAGTTGATTAAATTTAATACCCTGGTTATTTGAAATCAAAAGAACCCTATATATTTTTTTTAATATTAGTTAAAAGTTACTTTAAAGATGCTTTAAATAGCTTACAAAATAATATGATTTTTATCTACTTTTATATTTAAACTAGTATAAAATTTCCGCCACTGATTCAAATTAAATTAAAATTTGTATAAAATTAGGAACTTGTGCTAAAATTCATAATAATATTTTAAATAGTTTTTAAAATAATACGGTACTTGAAGAAAAACGTATATTCTTTGGGGAGTACAGGGGAAAATCGGTATTTGTTTATTTAAAATATTTAAAGTTAAATAAATCAGCAACAATTAAGAACAGCACGATAATAAGAAGGTTATTGCTTATTGCATTTAATTCTCAACATCCCCTGAAATATTATTTTTATCAAACGGAGCAGAAGCAAATTAATTTTTTTCAAACATTTTATAACGTAACTTGAGTAGACTATTTTCCAATAGATTTAATTTTCCTTTCAAAGTCATTCGCGAACTTTTTATTCAACTACCAATACTTATAAAATACAATACAAACAATTTTTCCTGAATTTTAATACCTAGTTGTATCTAAATTAAAAAATGTTTCTCTTTATCTAGGTACTAATTGCATGACATATGTCATATATGTCATATGTCATATGTCATATATGACTATATAGTCATAAGAATTATTGCTAAAAATTAAATATGGTTTAGGGTGCCTACTTACAGTGTTTATTTATTTTTATTTATTAGGATAGTATATTCTGTAACAAGTTTGGAATACAGCATATTCCGCTCGAGTGAAGAGTTTGTCACACGAGCAGGCGAGTTTGACGGTTTCACGAGAGCGGAATATGCAATTCCAAACGTGTTTCAGACTATACTTTTTCTACGTTTCCAAAAAATACCATAGAAAAATATTTTAATTGGAAGAAAGTGAGGTTGGATCAGTCTAAAATTTGTTAGATATTAAAAACAGAGATGTCGCCACAAGTGTTTATTCTGTCATCCGATGATAGAATATTTCATTCTGTAACACTTTACGGAATATATGTCATTTCATAGATAAAAGTGATATTAGAACGGTCAAATTCCGTAATAGGAGTAGAAAAAATAATTTTCTAAGGAGGTTGCAAATATAAAAATTTTAAATTTGTAAATATTACTATTAATTTTTACATATATTATATCACGAGAACTATGAATTTAATCGGTTAAACTAGGCTCAGTAGTGTTTGGTTTTTCTTGGAAAATTTTGAAAGAAAAATGAAATAGTTTGACAGATAAAATTTATACATTGATCAATACAATGATAACAGCCGAGTGGTGGCGCTACTAGCGATACTTTTTAGCGTATACGTTAGATTTTATTAATTGTCAAATAGTTTCCTTTAATTCGAGAAATAATCTAGACGTAATCACTCGAGTGATTACGTCTAGAGTATTTCTTGTACAAAAGTAATTAGCTGTCAAACGCGTGTTTACAAACGAGTGTTTTTGGGAATAAAGCCGGAAAATGTTGTGTTTTTACCGGTTTTCCAATAAACAGTGTTAATCTGAATGAAGAAATCAGTCTCTGTAAATATAAATTGTACTCTAATTGTATTAGATACAATAAATACACATTTTAGTAGAGATTAACGTGAAAAGTGTAAACATTTTAATTCAGTAAAAATCGTGGTCTAAATTTAAACAGCATTTAGCATTAGCTATTAAAAGCGTTAAATAAGAAAGTCTCCACTCAACGGTAAAATACCATTATATTATGTAGTATATATAATATTATGTTGCCATGAATTCGTATGTATATTTTGTTGTTTAAAATGCAGTTGTCGGCGTTTTTTAGAGAACTAAAATATAAAAATGGTTAATTTTAAGGTTATGTTTGTGCAAAAATTATTTTTCACTAATTTCTTAAAAATGTCCAAACTTAAATATAAATTATATTAGGTTAAGTTAGCATTAGTTAATTCTGCACCACCAAATGTACTTACCGAATTGGATCCTTTGGCAAAACATGAAAATGCAACGATTTAGTTCTTGAATTTTATTTACAATTAAAAACTCAATAATTTACCATGATCCCTTTGATAAAATACACACACTAACGTAACTATATAAGCATTTAAGCGTTGAATTTCTTAATCAATGATATAAGGAATAATCAATCGAAATGGAGTACTAAAAAAGTTTTTTAATTTTTTCCTTGCAAGGTAAAACACAAATAACGTGCGCGATTTAGCTGTGCAATTGAACAAAATTTGTCGAGTAAGACTTCTGCCTTCCTCTCTTTTGTGAAAAAATACCTATGTATTGTTGACAATTCTTAAATTCTTAAAACACGAGCGTAGGCATATGTCAAAATTTATGAACAATTTTTTAAACAAAATTCAATTAATTTAAAGGTATTTAATAATCAATAATTATTATTTCGTAAACTAGATAACTTATTTTTTATTGTTTTTTTTAAATGATGTAAATAACAACAGTTCTAGTGTTTTCTCGCTTATGTAAACAAAATTTATTCGAAAATTCAAGGCTTTTGATTGGTTCATTTTATAATGAGGAAAATAATAAGTTTTAATTTTTTGACACAAAACTGTCAAAAAATTTGTAAACCATGTTAACGCTAGCTCATTGCAGCAGTCTTGTATATTGTATATTTTGTTTCCAAAAAGTAGTTTTTAGATGTGTTTTAACATTTTACATAATATATTTAATTTTTAATATTAATAACCATAAGTTGTCGATGCACAAAAAAAGTTATATTTTTGATTACTATACAATTTTTTTTTAAATAATGTAACCTAACAAAGAAAAATTTAATTTGATTTTTTAAGGAAAATTATTTTTAAAATTATTATAATGCCAGATAATATTTTTAAAGTCTGTAGCAAAAATCATATATGAATAGGCTATGGTCTAAGCCTTAGACTTTTAGGCATGTCACTACAGTGGATCCAAATGGGTTTTTTCTGCGTGCCACTCAAAGAATTCAAATTCGAAAACCCCTGATTATAAAAATTAAAAAGGGTTCAGATTTTTATTAAAGTTTCATTAATTAAAATTATAATGCTGCTTTGATAACGTAAAAAATTTCTATTAGCCGTTGCCCTTGCTCTGCAAAACAACTCTTGAGTCTGCTGTTACATAAGATGTCTATTAATTCCTCTTGGTTAGAGTTTCATTCCCAAAATATTTCTGGAAAACTGTATCGACAGATTGAAGTCCTAAATTTAGCTCATTCAATTTGGTAAAAATATCTAAGTTTGTGGCACAGGCTTTGTTTAAGTTAAAAATCCTTACAGCATTTTTAAGTATGATGACAAAACTTGCTGGCAATTTCTTCCCGATGGATTCCACAGTGTGTCCATTTTGCTTTTGGAGCTACATCTTTTATCTCGTAAGCGTCACAAGTACTGAAAACGACCAGTCATTGCCCTGAGACCATCAGTGCATAGGCCTAAACATTTTGACCAATCCAAAATGTAATTTTTGATAAAACCGTTGATCATATGAAAGATATCCTTCACGGTGCACCGCGGTGGTTAGAATCACAAGGGTATGACAAAACAGGAATTCTTCATGGACCTCTTACATAACGAACATATACTAAAAGTTGAGTGGAGTTGATTGACTCAAAATATATTACGGATATTGTGATGTTTGTGTAATTGTTTTTTATTTATTGAATTACCTTACTAAGAGATTGCCACGCGTACCTCTTTAAGCAACCTAACGGTACGTGGTACCACTTAACCTTATATTTACTACCCCTTAACCTTATATTTAATTTTACAATTTTGCTGAAATCACCCATGTTTTTCTTAGAATCTTCTTTAACTTAAAGCAATTTGATAAAAATTTAAAATAACACTATTCCGATCAGAAATCTTAAAACATAACTATAGTTATACATAATAATGTTTTCGAAAAAAAATCCGATGTTTAGCAAAAGCACGCATAAAGTGAGATTGTATCTGAAATCGTGTTATTTTATATAAAAAAAGACTAATAAAACTTTTTGTTTTCAGGCCATTTGGGTGTATGTTGTGAGCTTGCCTGTGATAATTATAAACTCTCCGAGACACGCAATCCCAATAGCACCTAAAACGATGACCACTTTTGATTCGGCAGGAACATGCTTATTTGTCATTGGATTTTTAGCTGAAACCTACGCAGATTTGCAGAAATTCTCGTTCAGGCAAGATCCAGTTAATCAGGGAAAATGGTGCAATGATGGTAAGAAGAAACAGTAACTTTTAATACTATTCAAACAAAATTCTTTTTTTTTATTCATATTATTATTTTAGGACTTTGGAGATTGTCAAGACACCCCAATTATTTTGGAGAAATTCTTTTATGGTGGGGTATTTTTGCAATATCCATAAACGTAATCCAGGGCGTTGAATGGGTTGCAATTATGTCGCCGATATTTACGACTCTCATAATATTGTTTTTGTCTGGAATGCCCCTGCTAGAGAGATCTTCAGACGAAAAATACAGAGAGTAAGTAATTAATCCCGGCGCATTCGCCAAAATTGAAAATTAAATTAAAAAAGGATTTAAATTAAAGGTTTCAGAATTTAACGTTTGATATTATAAAGGAATCAATAAATGTTTTTTAATAAAGTTGTCACGTCTGGAATTTATTCATTTATTTTTAAAAAATATTTCTTCTTTTATTGTTAATCTGTTAACATTGTGCTTGCTATTCGTCGAACTATCGTTTTAAGCATATTTTTTGCATAATGTATCACCCAAATAACACCATTAGCTAATTTAATATTATAAATTAAATATTTATAATCGAAGGATTCAATTGACAGTTCACAATTAGCTGTTTGAGTTGTTTACAATACGTCACCCCAATATAACAAGGTTGTAGGTATGTTAAAAAACCGAAAAATTTGAGTTTATGCTTCTACAAGGTTTTTTGTAATCTACCCTTGACATACAACTTGAAAATAACTCTATATATATATGTAATACATATTATGTATACATAGAATATACATTCTATAGAATTATTTTTAAGTGGTATGTGAAGCGTAGGCCACGTATAATCCTGTAGAAACATAGACTTAAATTTTTCGTTTTTTTTTTAACATACAACTTTACCGAAATCACTTCAAGGTTATAGTAGTAAAGTTTTGAAATTTTAATTGCTTTAAAAGTTATCGAGTTAAAAAGTAAAGGTCACGAGCCGCCACTGTAATCAAACCACATTTATTTAAAATGTCCCAAACAAAATTTTCTTTACCATTATTTTCGAATTTAAAAAATTGCAGGGGTTATTTTTCTTTTAAAGCCACCAATGAGGAGGCAGTACTTATGCTCTATCTAACTCTTAAATCTACCAAACCTCACTTTCTACTTTTAATAGTTATTAATATTATAATTGTATGTTTAATGTAAGTATCGCTTAGCAATAGTTGTTTATGTCGTAAGGCTGTGAAGTAAGTCTTTTTGCGCTAAGCCGAAGCGTAGCGGAGGCCTAAAATTGAGCGAAGCACCAAAAGACACTTCTCAGCCGCATGGCATACAACATTTTATTTTCAAGGCAATTTTTTTTGTTAAACAATACAGAAAACGCACAATTATAATAATTATTAAAAGTAGAATAAGATCTGACAGTAGTCAATTTTTTTGATTTGTCCAAACGGGTTTATACAGACTAGGAGGTGAAAAAGTTTACACTATTGGTCTAAATTATTTTTACAGCCTAGGAGGTTTTTTGATTGAAGATAAAACTTTTTTACCTCTTTTTCAGTTTTAATCCAAATGTAGTTAACGGTTCTTTTACTTTGGACAGCAGTTTTAAACTTGATTATAATATATTATACGTATGTTTATAAACCCAACACAAGTAATTACTACTTTATAAAACATTATATTGCATTAAATTTTAAAAAATGGTTAATCAAATTCGGATTTTGATTGATTTACATAAATAATTCAAAATCTATAACCTATAAAGTTACAAAAAAACTATAAAATTTCAAAACCTATAACCTCTAACAAAATCTAGGATACTTTTTGTGATTACAATGGTCAAGATAAATTTTGCCTCTTAGATTAGGGTATGCAGTTACAATAGGTTTATCAACATTTATTTTTGTGATTACAATGGTCAAGATAAATTTTGCCTTTTAGATTAGGGTATGCAGTAGGGTGTCCGTTATTTACCAAGTTGATTTTTTTTCTTGCGACGCCCCCTAAATTTTTAGTCTATCGTCTAAAAAAAAATTTTAGACCAAAATAAACTCTTAATATTCATAATAAACCTTGCCCCAAAGACGATACATTTCCCATTCAAATTACATGGGATTTTGACACTTTTTTCAATTAATTCTTTTTTTCTCAGGCAAGATGACTTACAGCAATGAGACATATATATTCTTATAGTAAATTGAACGCTCTACAAAAAAGGTATCTTATAATTTTTCGATTAAATCACTCGTTAAAAAGTTATTCGAGGTGAAAGTTAAACTCTGTGTACATTTTCTGATTTTTTTTACTTTTACGGCAAAGTTATTATTATTTTGATGAAAGTTATTAGTATATTTCTGAAAATAGATAATTCTGGTGGTACTAGGGTATACAATTTTTAAACCTGGAAAATAATAGACTGCATTACAGGTAGCTGGTTCTAGTTTTAATCATTTTTGAGACTTTATTTATAACACACAGTCAACTAATTTTTATTGAATTTCAAGTTTTGTACACTTTTATGAAATTTTCCTTCAATACAGTAAGTGACTCAAAATTACTCTTACAAGTATTCCCGCCAACACACGGAATTCTTATTGACGCAAGCGCGCTAAAGCGCATTTAGTACCTTGACGGCGCTTTTAGTATTGTATATTTGTTATATTGTATACAAATATCTCTGCATATTGTTGTGAATGTTGTGTCGTACATTAACAGTAGTTATTTATATAATAAAACTTATTTATTATACACAAAAAACAAAATTTAGAATTAGTGCAATTTTTAACATATAGGTAAATAAAAACTATAAAATTAAATTTATATTGAAAATCTCATTGGAATTAAAATTTCACAAATAGTTCTAACCTATAAAAATTTAGGTTCAATGGATCTAAGACAAAATATATTTTTGATTGGAAAAACAATAAGTGAAATTACTGGCAAAAAGTTACCAACAAATAAAGAAGTTCTGCAACTACTGTACCATCACTCAAGAAATCGCAATAAATCTATTGATGACAGCTGTTCAATCGTTATACGTGAAGTGACAGGAATTTGGAGTGAAGCAGTAATTCCAACTCAAATTAATTCGCGTTGCATAACAAATGCAATAATTCATTATTTGTTTCAGCAATATTTATATAAAAAATCCGTCGAGTTCTTTGATCAATTAAAAATTGTTTTGTCTCCTCGTCAATCATTTTAAAAACGTCACCGTCAGCAATGTCAAATAATTGTTCGAGTTTATTTGACAAATCTTGCTCTTTTGTTTTATTTTTTTGGTAAAGATGTTTTTGTACATTTCTGTATTCTGCGTAGAGACTTTTTAATTTTGTTATGCAACGTGAATTAATTTTGTTTGAATTACTGCTTCACTCCAAATTCCTGTCACTTCACGTATAACGATTGAACAGCTGTCATCAATAGATTTATTTCGATTTCTTGAGTGATGGTACAGTAGTTGCAGAACTTCTTTATTTGTTGTAACTTTTTGCCAGTAATTGAACTTATTGTTTTTCCAATCAAAAATATATTTTGTCTTAGGTCCATTGAACCTAAATTTTTATAGGTTAGAACTATTTGTGAAATTTTAATTCCAATGAGATTTTCAATATAAATTTAATTTTAAAGTTTTTATTTACCTATATGTTAAAAATTGCACTAATTCTAAATTTTGTTTTTTGTGTATAATAAATAAGTTTTATTATATAAATAACTACTGTTAATGTACGAAACAACAATCACAACAATATGCAGAGATATTTGTATACAATATAACAAATATACAATACTAAAAGGACTTAAAGCGCCGTCAAGGTACTAAATGCGCTTTAGCGCGCTTGCGTCAATAAGAATTCCGTGTGTTGGCGGGAATGCTTGTAAAGTCCATGTCTGACGGTGCAATTTCTCGCGGCGACTAGTTGCAGCGACTTTCTCGCCTCTAGGGTGTTCACACGGTGCAACCAAACTGACGTTATTTTCTACTAGGATTGCCAACATAACCGAAAATTACTTAGTTGAAAAATAAAAATACCTAAACAAATTTAATGTTTATTTAAATCGATTTTGTTTTTCTTTTAAAGTTATAAGTATTTTGTGGTGTAAAAATAAAAACACTTAGATTAAAGCACACGCAAATCACATCTGTCATTCCACAGCTGAAAAATATTGAGTACCAAGTTGGTACTACCAACCAAAAAATTTAGTGAAAATTCGTAAATCCCTAAAAAAGTTACTAAGTCGCGGCGATTTTATTGCATGAAAATAGAACTTATGTTCTGTGAAATAGAACATGTTCTATTTTGAGACAGGTTAGATCAGCTGATTAGTTGCATCGTGTGACCACCAAAAAATCGCCGCGAGAAGTTGCACCGTCAGACATGGACTTAAGAGTAATTTTGAGTCACTTACTATATTGAAGGAAAATTTCATAAAAGTATACAAAATTTGGAATTCAATAAAAATTAGTTGACTGTGTGTTATACATAAAGTCTCAAAAATGATTTAAACTAGAACCAGCTACCTGTTATGCAGTCTATTATTTTCCAGGTTTAAAAATTGTATACCCTAATACCACCAGAATTATCTATTTTCAGAAATATACTAATAACTTTCATCGAAATAATAACTTTGCCGTAAAAGAAAAATAAATCAGAAAATGTACACAGAGTTTAACTTTCACCCCGAATAACTTTTTAACGAGTGATTTAATCGAAAAATTATAAGAGACCTTTTTTGTAGAGCGTTCAATTTACTATAAGAATATATATGTCTCATTTTTGTAAGTCATCTTGCCTGGGAAAAAAAGAATTAATTGAAAAAAGTGTCAAAATCCCATGTAATTTGAATGGGAAATGTATCGTCTTTGGGGCAAGGTTTATTATGAATATTAAGAGTTTATTTTGGTCTGAAATTTTTTTTTAGACGATAGACTAAAAATTTAGGGGGCGTCGCAAGAAAAAAAATCAACTTGGTAAATAACGGACACCCTAGTATGCAGTTACAATAGGTTTATCAACATTTATTTTCGTAAGATAGACTAAAGCTTTGCAAAATTGTCTTTAAACAATGTACTAACACTGTGCAAACAATGTGCTTAAAAATAATGTACTATACATAAGCGTGGCAAATGACAAATAAAAAGCGTAATGTCAATGTGCATAAAGAGTTAAAAAAACTTAATTATTTCAAAAAGTGTGACATTACCACAAAATAGCGTGTATGCACATTGTTATAAAGACTTGCACCCCAAATACACACTTATTGCACACTTTTCATGCACGCTTTATTTTCGCCAGGGCGCGCCCGGGCGGCCCAAAGAAAATTTTATATTTTTTGTGTTGTGTAATCTAAATTTTTTTATTAATAAATATTATCCTAAATCCTAAGCAATCGCACCAAGGGTTAAATTATTCTTGTTTTTCAGCATCTCGGATTACCGATTTTACAAATCTTCCACCTCGCCACTTATACCAATACCGCCTGCCATATACGTTGAGGTGCCCCGGTTCCTGAAATTCCTGATATGTTGCGAATACCCCATGTATGATTCTCTCGACGAAAAAATCAAAACATCGCATATTATTAAGGAATCCACAAGCGCGTCCCTGGCGACAGCTTCGCAAACATAGCTATAGTTTCATGCTGGGCCACCGATTGGCTCCAGCACCGATATAAAGGATAGCAAGGATTGTAAAGTTCAAATTACAGCTTTGTAAATACAGTTTTACTGTTGGTGTAGGCTTATTCCCAAAGGACATGGCGGCGCCATGATGGCGCAGTCATTCGTAGTATACTTAAAATATACTTACTTAAGGTGCTTTTCAATTGACCGTTTTGAGCAGGCAATGCAACCCCGGGTTTGAGTTTGAGTTTCCATTATTTTTGGTGTTTAAAACCCGATCCGCGCAGGGGCTGCATTGAGTGCTCAAAACGGTCAATTGAAAATCACCTATTTTCAATTAACTATATTATACAAATAATTTGTATATAGAGGTAACAAAAATACTTACAAGTCTATAGATACTAATTTTAAGCCTTCACAATTAAGGCTTAATTCTTTAACTCATAAAGTTTTCGATTTAAAATTATAATTAGTTTAGAGCTTTTTGATTAATAAGTTTAAGTCTAGAATAAATTTAAATATATATAAATTTAAAATTAAACTTAATAGGTATGTATCCATGGTCCAAAGTCTAACCAATGTTTGTAGCAATAAATATTTACATACATATCCAAATATTTTGTTATTCAAAAAAACTTGTACTAACCAAAACTTATCATTATATTAGTTGGACCTAATTATGATTAACATTTACCTATAATTATATTTAGATATTTTTGAAAACATAATTAGGTATACATAAATATATATATATATATAACTTTAGAAAGAGATTATTAAAAATTAGTATTTAAAATCTACTATTTAATTAAATAATAATGTATTTAAAATTAATTTAAATTTTTAATATAGATAGGAGCATGATTCAAATTGTATACTTAAACATAAAAGGACTGCAGTTTCTGTATTTAAACAATTATATAAGTAAGCATATTTTTGTAAATAAAATAATTAAATATTTTGGTACTTTTTTCTCATCCAATAAACAGTTCTTTTTCCGTTAGGTGCGAAATAAATTTTGCCTCCTTTCCCAAATTTTAAACTGTCAAGGTAAAGATGATAAAAATCTTTTTTGATTACAAAAATGCATTTTAGCGTAAAAGTTGTTGAAAAGTTGTATCAAGAACTCTGAATACAGTGTTCTTGAGTTGTATGTTGAACCTAATTAAAAATGTCAAAAATAGCAACGCGAAATAAATGTTATTACAACTTCAACTGCTTATGAGAGTAACTACTGCATTATATTTTTGTTGCAGTATCACTAGATAAATGCTTAGTTTTTCTTTATCCATCGTAAATGTATATTAAACATTTTGCCTTTTTATTTTCTACTGAACCTATACTACAATTACGAAGTAGTAAAAATTTTTAAATAAAAATTTTCAGTGTATGCTTTTTAGAACTAGAACTATTTTTTTAAATTATAAAATTTGGTTGAATGTGACAAAAATTAATTATTGCTTAAGAATCTTAAGTTAAGACACGTATCCAAACTAACCGTTAGGTTTACTTTAAAAAAAAGTACTGCTGTTATAGTATAAAAGGAAAGATATTTGGACTTAAGCTCAACCTAGGGATTTTACTAGAAGCGCGCAAAATTCATCATGGATTTCGGCTCAGATAAAATTTACTACCGCCCTGATAGCAAAATTTGATTCTAAGAAGATATGACCCGGAATAATGGAATATTCTTAGAACCTTCCCTTATTGCTAAGAATGTTCTTAGGGACTTTTAAAACATTCAATAGATACCCTTTTAATGATGCAATTAGATTCTTAGAAGCTTCTTAAAACCTTCCTAAAAAGCATTCTAAAAACATTTTAAGAATACGTTTTTGGAATGTTCTTAGAAGCCTTTGAGGATATTTCCAAATATGTCAGATACCCACGTTCTAATATGTTGGATTCTACATTCGTAAAATTCTTCAGGAGGCGACAAATACGCCTCACTGTCATAATATGACAGTGAAATGTATTTGTCGTCCCCTTAAAAAATATTAATTAATAATATATACATATTAATATATATTTATTTAAAAATATTAATTAAACAATTTCACCTCTAAACCATAAGTTGTATGACATTATTTCATAAAAAGTAAAATTGGAAATTTTTTTGTGGGAAAAGTCAGATTAGATTGAAGTTGAAGATAGTTAGGATTATTATACATAAAAATGTTAATTCTGCAGAAATAAAAAATCGGTATACAAATTAATAAATATTTATTTTTAACATAAAATAAAATATAAAAAAACAAAATATTTCCTTATAAAATAATTCTTCATAAAAGAAAAAACCAAATAGTTCTTCATAAAAAAACATTTTTCATTGTATTTAAGTTGGATAGAAAGTTTTATGTAAATCCGGATAATTTAGATATTTCTATAGGTACCTATAGGTACCTATAGTAAAAGTATTTTTGTTATCAAATATTGTTTTAATTTGACAAATAACTATAAAAAATATTTTGGGTTGCGTTTTTTACTTAGTATTTAATACTAAGTATAGGTACCTTTATACGTAGATTGTGGTATATTTTACTATTATATAGGTACAGGGTGATCCCCTATAATGTCGCCCCCCTTTAAGTTTTTTATTTTAAGTGTCCCAAAAAAATTAAAAGTGTGGTTATATAGAAACTAAAAAATACTTTTTTTCTACGTATAAAGAAAATTGGAAAATTGATCAGTATACAGGGAAAAACAAAAAGTTAATTTTTTTTCAATGGATCACCCTATATATGAATTTATTTTTCGATTCCTTGTAAAATTCTAAGCATATTTCATTTATCATACCATATACCTAAATTCAACCGTTTCTGAAATATTTAAATTATTTTTAAGATAATAAGTTGAAATAGTTTGTCTTTCTCTGTCTGAGTACGCCATTTTTACTCATTTAACAACACTTATTGACATAATGTCACTATAGTAATTTATTTTCAATAAAAATTTTGGTATACTGAGGCTTCTTGATTTCTAACAGTTTAAAAAAACATTTAATAATGACATTTCGAATGCGAATATTTCAGAAACGGTTATTTATATTTATTTTTTATTTATTTATACCATATGGTTTGTACATAAATTATGCTCAGAATTTTACAAGGAATCGAAAAATAAATTTAAATATAGGGTGATCCATTGAAAAAAAAATAAACTTTTTGTTTTTCCCTGTATACTGATCAATTTTCCAATTTTCTTTATACGTAGAAAAAAAGTATTTTTTAGTTCCTACATAACCACACTTTTAAATTTTTTGGGACACTTAAAATAAAAAAGTTAAAGGGGGGCGACATTATAGGGGATCACCCTGTACCTAACTGAACTAAATATGCTTAACAAAATGTTCCAGGAATATTCCTAAATGACCTTTCTATAGCAATTACTTTCTCAACATTCTAAGCATATGTTTAGAGTGGATTAATTTTTACCACTAAACTTTGCACCTTCTAAGAACCTGCCTATAGGCCTTAGGATTATGCTATATTTCTTTTAAGCATGTTCTTTAGAAGAAATATAGCATGATCCTAAGAATATTCTCACTTGAAGGTTTAAAAAACATTCTTAGAACATGACTAGAAGAAATATAGCATGATCCTAAGAATATTCTCACTGGAAGGTTTAAAAAACATTCTTAGAACATGACTAGAAGAAATATAGCATGATCCTAAGAATATTCCCATTGGAAGGTTTAAAAAACATTCTTAGAATAAACTGTGCTATCAGGGCGGGCCTTTATTACCGGGGGGTAAACCACTTTAAAATCCATATAAATCCAATAAAGACCAATTTTCAATGTTAGTGAAAGTTGTGTTTTTCCTTATCAGTCGTTATCAATAAGGAAAACTTGCTTAATCAGTGCTTAGCGACGCGTTGCGCTTGACTATCCTTGTTATTGTTAACCTTAGCCGTTAATTTGTAAGCGATTTTTAATTTTTAAAAATAAGTGGTTTACCCCTCGTTTATTACCTGCCAGTAATATCACAGCCACAGTTTACGCATGCGCCTTTCAATATTGTTTTACTTTTTCAGTGTTTTATTTGTTGAAATTGATGTGTAATTCCAACAGATAAAAGAAAAAAAAGTGAGAAGGAAGTTAAAGGCAAAGCCATAGCCAGGAAAGAAGTGGCAATAACAAAATTTGCAGTCAGGTATACATTTTTAATTATTTACATTTCTTTTGTTATTAAACAAATTATCAAATTATTTTCTATTTGTTGCTGTTTACTTACTGGACAAAACACACCTTTTTAAATATACATATACTATACTATACTACATTATAGTGTACACACAAGTGTAAATAATCTGGCAACACTGCCTATATCAATTTAGGGAATTTTATTTTAAAACTTAGACAATAGAACCTTTGGTTGATTTGATATGGACTGACCCATACTTTACAAATTATCTCTAAAACAAATCATTTTATCAAAATTTTATAAGAGACAAAAAATGTTCAACAATAAATGATTACCTGAAAAAATACCGTTTGGAAGTCATTGGCGCACGTACTAAAAAATAGGGGGAGTCAGTGAGTACTGGACCCCCCTATTTTGATTATTTGACAATTGAATACGTCAATGCAGAAACTGAATATGTCCTACTAGGTAGTTTTGAGATAACTAAGAAAAACTGAATACATATTCAGTTTCTGTACTATATTAACGCCTTTGTATAATGTAGATTACCGTGACATGAAAATTTCTACGCCATTCGATCGGGCACCCTTTACTTATAGTAAATCCATGTTTAACTCAATTTCCCTAAAAAGTGGACATATTCAGTTTCTGCATTGACCTATTCAATTGTTTTTTGTTTTGTTGGTCTCCAAAATGTAACTACACTGAAAAAAATAATTTGTTTAAGCAACTAAAAAAAAGTTGCGCCAACAAATTTTATTTGTAGCTATAGCCTCAACTAAAATCTTTGTTACAACAACAAATTTTTTTTGTTGAGACATAATATGTTACTGTAACTAATATTTTTTGTTGACAAAACTATGGCGTCTTGTTTAAAGTAACTAATATTATTGATATCTCATACAATAATATTTTGTTGTTAAAACAGTTTACATTTGTTTTAGGTAATAATTTATTTGTTTCTATAACTTTTTGCATTTGTTTTCATTATAAATCTATTTGTTGGAAAAGCTATGGTAATGAGTAACTACAACATTGTTGCTTTGTTATAACATTTGGTAGTTCTTTTAATCACCAAAAAATAATTTTCGTTAAAAGAACTTAAACAATGTTAACCTATGCCTACACAATATTGTTAAAGCACCTCTTTCAGTATGTAATACTAATTAATAAAAAGAGTTGCATTAACAATATTGTGTAGGTATAGGTTAATATTGTTTGATTTTTTTAAACAAAAATTATTTTGGTACCTTTAAAAGTATTTTCTAATAAAGAAAATTTCCACTCGGTTAATATTTGGTTTACTCCTTCATCCATAACGCCCAATGCACAAAAATTAATTAACGCGAACCTGCTTCCTCTAGCATTTGCACAAAAAATTTTTGACAGTGACAAATTATTTTTTTATTATTCAATCACTATGACACCAAAACTTAACTTTAACCATGGCACCAAGTCGGTCAACTTTATAAAATAAATTTCAATGTCACATCATGTCAATTTTGGGCGAAAATTGACAACAAAAACATATTTGTTATGTTTACTAAGGATACCTATTAGCGGCGACGCATATTGTCAGTAGGGTAAACTAATTATTTCCAACAAATTCATTTTTGTTGCAAATACTAATGTATTAAACACTTTACTTGGGTTAACAAATTTTTTATTATGACCAACAAAAACAATTGCAACAAAAAATTTATTGGTTGATAAAACAGATTTGTTTTTTCAGTGTATTTATGTTGAAGTAGTGTACCGAATTTAAACTTAATATCTTATCAATTACTCGAATTATTAAAAAAAATCAGTTTTAAATTTCAAACTTTGTCGCCCTGTATATCGAACATGAAGCTCTAAATTGAAAAATGGTATTATGAAAGTCTATTGTATTGTTTTAACTCAAGGAATATATGGTTAACGGATTGACCTCCTTTTCCCGGACACCCTGTATTTAATTTAAAAATATACCAAATATAAAAATTTTAAATATTTGTTTTTAATTTTAACACATAAAAGTGCAACAAATAATAAAATGTGTTTTTTACTCCTTTGATGTAGAATAGTGTATTGAATCATTGCTGGTTCTGAAAAATGTAAAGTAAGTTTTAAAAAACTACGACTTAATAATATTATTTATAGCCTAAAAAGTTGTTATTAAAAGTTTTTTTATAGAATAAATGTTTATAAAACTATACAAAAATATATCAAAAAATTAGCGATTTAATAAAAATACAGTTAAATATGTAATATACCCAAAATAATTAATTCAATACGAGGAGGTAGTAAATTCTAAATATAGACTTATTTTTAAATAAATTTTAAGAGGCAGATGTTCACTATTTCCGAACGCCTCCGAACAATTACAATGGAGCATTCAAATGGACATTACTTCTTTCCGTAACTGTACGTTCGAACTCTTGACGAGGTAAGACATTGTAACCGAGACCTCGCTTAAAACCAATATTTTACATCCCACAGTGCAAATAAACTTTAATACATTGCATGTATGTATCTACAGTGAACCAAAGGCTTCCTTACGGTCACGGAAGTAATAGAGTGTGAAGTGATAAGTGACAGCATACCTGGCCGACGAACCACCTGGCAATAGAAAGCATTCTATGTGAAGAACAAACGGGGCCAACATTAACCACGTTCAGATCCTACACAACCCTAAGAGCGGTTTTTTCCGCTTAAACCCAACACTATTAAAAAAACTAAAAAAAAAAACAATGTAAAACAAAGAGCAACAGCAACATTGATAATAAGACAATAGTAACAAAACAATACAAAAAAACAATAAATCCAAGACGTCCCAAATCTTACCGCTGGCATTCACGGGATTATAGCTGAGAAAGACAAATAATTCAATCACCAAGTAAGTCACAAAATCCATACTTAAACGACCTTTTCAAATAGACAAAAGTATGTAAACTAACCGAGACATAAATACCTAAACATAGAAATATAGGAACTTATAGATCCTACGTCGAAAATGCAATAATCAAACTTAGCAGTCGTTAGGAATACATAAAAGCCCTACAGCTAACTAACAACTCCCCAACTTTAAATAGTAATCCCAAATGTTTGGAGTAATATACTAATTTCCCTGTCTATGAGGATTCCGCGTCGTACACAGATTTGAGTCGGCGTAATTGTCCCCAAAAAAACAAAATGTCTGCCCCCCCGTCCCCACCTCCGTTTTTTCCTACTGGGCGTACAGCAACGGCCCGGCGAAACCAGGAGACGCTATTCAAACTATTCGCAAGTCGCTCTCGAGCCCCAAATATGGTACAGTACCGGACGCGGTGGACAGGCTCGGGAGAGATAAGTCAAGATACTCAAATTAAAATATTGATGTTAAATTTTTAGATTTTTACAATTTTCGTAAATTAAGAAAATTTGAATTAAAGTTTTTTATAAGTTTAGAATGTACCTAATCCAAAATTTTATGAAAGCTTTTCCACAATTAAAAAATTAACAACAATTTTCTAAATTGTACACAAATATATTTAATACTTCGAATTATCGAATATTAATTATTTAAAAAAAATATATTCAGTTAAATCATTTAAATTCAAGACTATAAGTATAGTTCAGAGTCCAGAGCTTCTATGTGTTTCTGGAGCTTCAAAATACCGATCCAAGCTCTGGAATCCCCTCGAAGCGTCCGACCGAACATTACGAACCAGTTTTAAATGTTACGGAAACCACTGCTCAAGATTGCAAACCATATATGGTTCGCTATGGTTTGTAGTGGTTTCTGTAACCGTCGAAAGTGAAAAACTACAAACTACTTCGAAACACACGAACCACTGTGAACCACTACGTAATATTATATAATGGTGTGTTTTTCCGCAACCATTGCGAACTACTTCAAAAATTACAAACCACTATAGTATACGTACACGTACACTCATGAATTTTCGGAAGTGTTTTTCTGCAAGGGATTTGCTGCAAATTAGGACATAAGAATTGACTTTACTTCATACAATAATAAAAAATAAATTATCATTTTGTTCTTTTACTTTACACAATGATAAAAGCATTTTGTTATTTCTTTAATACATACATATTTCAATGTTTAATCTAATGTTTTTATTGTTTTAAAAGCTTTAAATAGTAATAATAGTCATGCAAGCCACAAACAAATTCCCTGTTATTTTTTTTTTTAATTTATGAACCTCATTTGTCATAAATCACGAGCCGCTACTGAGAAGACTTATTAATTATAGAAGGCCTGGCAACCCCAACAACATGGTTTGAAATGATGGGACATAAATGCAGTTATTTAAAATTATAAATCATTATAATGGTAAAATAAAAAAGCGGGGTTTTGTTAAATGGGTATACCCTTTTTATACATAGCCTAATAACATATGTTAATATTATGACAGGAAATTACGCAATGATAATAATTATAAAATAAATTAGAGTAGGTAGATAAATTAATAAACTATGTACAAAGTAAGACTTTTGTTGAATATTAAATTTTGCTACCCCTAGCCCCCCCCGGGTATCGCTAATACATTAGTTACTGAATAATGTATCTGGAAGTACAAAAATTACTGATACATTTTACAAAGATTAAAAACTTCTTGATATGGGGTTCAGAGAAAGATATTTTTCAGATATCGCATCCCAAAATTTACTCAAATTTACAAAAAAAGAAAACTTATTTAATGTCAAAATAATATAATTTAGTAAATTTTTACAAGAAATATACAAAACAATTACAGGATCTCTAATTTTTACAATATCAAATACATTTCGTCCACTTTTTACTACAGTTTTTAGTGTTTTATTCACGGTGGCAAACCAACTGGGACAAGAACTCCACAAGGGTACGAGTAGGACGACCGGTCATACCGCGTCTAAGATATGGGTAATCTTTGCCGTCTGTATGCATTACTCCATAAGTATCAATGTGCAACCAATCACCGCAAGGAACAAACTCGTTCAAAAACGCGGCAACTCTACAAGCTCCAGCGCATCTTGGCCTACCACCTCTACCATAAGTTTTCACTTCGACCGAATGGTGGTTGGCCACCAGCTGTGTAAAATGATCCCACAAAGGGAAACGCCACACTCTATCCCCAGTGTGCATGGAAGAGGCTAGCATATACTCCCAGAGAGCTTCTGAGTTGCTGAAAACGCCACTGGCTGCAGCGCCCAAAGAGTGCCTCATATCATTGGTCATGGTTCCAATGTCAACAATGAATCTTGGCCAGAAGTTTTGGGCATATACCAAGGCATCGGCAATGGAAAGTCTGCCAGCTGTATCAGTAGACTCAATCTTAATACTTTTGCCATTCATGGCCTTCACGATGTCTCCAGGACGCATAGCAGCACATCCTGGCATATTTTCGCATAGTGGAAGCAGGGCTCTGATGTTAATAGGCAGTTGCAAACCTGCAACTGCTCTACATGCGGCGACAACACAGGCAGCTCCCCCCATGTCCCCTCGCATAAACCTCTGCTTGTTGCATGATTTCAGGCAGATGCCACCACTGTTATAAGTTATTCCCTTACCAATTAGAATTACGGGTCTTTCGTCTCTGCATGCACCGTAGTAACTAAGTTCTAAAAATATCGGAGGTTCGCAGGAACCTTGAGCCACAGCCAAGAATGCATACATCTTTTGTGTTTCTGCCCATCCACGTACTTTAACTTCAACGTTTACGCCAGACTTACACAACACTTCTACAGCGTTCTGAGCAAATGATGTTGGTGTCATTAAATTAGCGGGAGTGTCCATCAATTGACGAGCCAAATTTTGAGCGGCAGCTTTTTGAAGACCAATCTGCCAACCAGTCCAATCGCAGTCATCGTATAATTCCAATTGAGGAATTATCAATTGGTTTTCCTTCTTTTTCTTTTCTTGATACAGCCACACTGCCAATGCGGACCCTTCAGCAGATGATTCCGCATGTCCAAAGCTTTCAATGAATATTTTCCTTACTGCTATTTTCTGTAGCGATTTTGAACCTTGCGCTGCAGCTACTCTTATCACCTCTTTTCCTTCGTCCATTTGTTCGAACACATCGTATCCCTGACATTCTTTTCCGAGGCCAACAACGGTGACAGCTGTGAATTCATCGTCAATGTTGTAGAATGTTCTGGTTTCCCCTAATTTTGGTGGTGGGCCAGCATATTTTAAAAGCTCTGACAGTCTATTGCATACCAAACTGTCATATCTTTCACCGGTTGGTGTTAATTTACCTGGTTCTGTACCTGGTTCAGTTTGTGTATACAAGCCGAGAACCAAACCTTTTGCTACAGTGGACCGGCAAGGATCTTCCTGTTTTTTCGGACAAACTGCAGTTTCAGCGGAATAAAATCTTATAATTGTGCGATTCAATGAAAGTGTATTTCTCAAGGAGCGTATACATCCAGCCATTTTTAAGTATTTTTAAAATATATTTCGAGCTTTGTATTCTTTTCGTATTTAGATATTCATACTCACAATTTATGTCAAAAAATTGTAAAAATTCTTTTGGTTTTTTATTGATGTGGTTGCTATAGAGAAATATTTTTGTTCTCGATTTTTAAATAAAGTTATAGCAGACCTGCTATAACTTTATCTTTTAGTCTCTGGTTATAGAGAGAAAACCTACGCTCAATCTTAAGATTCATTATCATTTCATCATTGAATGCTTCATATTTATTTTATTACAATACTAAGAGCCTCGTTTATCTATGACCAAGAGCTCCATACCTTAAGGTAATTAACATTACCTAATGAAACGTCTGTTTTTATATTTTATATTATAATGTAATGGTTCAGTATTTTAATACGTTTTACAAATATATTTTTGAATAAGTTTGGAATTTCTAAATTGTGTTGTAAAATGTAAAAATCTTTGCAAAAGAGGTAAAAAACGGACGTTTAGGTAAAGAAATTACAAAGTTTCGTGGAAGACCGAAATTTTGCCTGCAATGGGAAAAAATCTGTTGGCCAGATGAGGCAAAAACAATATCGAAACTGGGAGAGGGAAGCAAAGAAAGGGGCAGAAAGTTTTCCAAAGTGTTAGAGAATGCATCGTTTTCGTAAATCTTTGCCAAAACCACAATTATTGTAAAATTCTGTGTAAACAATTGTTACAAGTGTTTGTGTATTCTCCCAGGTTCTTAATTTTAGTAGCCCAATTCTGTAGTAAAGTCCACTAAACGTAGAACGATTTTGATTTAAATAAACTGAGCATTAGTTATTTTGCACTACTGCGTTTAGTGAATTTTACTCGATATTAACACCTTTTGTTTTAGCTATTTTTATAGAATGTTTTTACCTTTTAAGTTTACTGCTAAATGTAAAAATTTATATTCCTTTCTTTTATTGTCTTAGGCTTAATTTAGTTGTATACTACTCATGTTTAGACCCTCCCTCAACACGATTATGCATTTTTTTGCGGTAATTTTAAAACAAATATCAGTGTAATACAGGACGTTTCGTTGCTTAAAAGGAATTAATGACCGTTAATTTTAAACTTTGAATGCTCCTTTTTTCTTTAGTACGTAGTTTGCAGTAGATACTAAATTTAAATACTCTCCTCCGTGAGGGATAACTGGTCACCTAGGTTCTCTAGGTGGCATCGCAACTTTTATCACGAAACTGCATCTTTACGCGAGTTGTTTCCAGTGCGGACCCCGTTCTCCACAGGGCAACGTTAACGTTGACAGACCAACAGTTAACTGCCCTGTTAAACTAACAAAGTTTTTCCTATTTTTTTTGAACCCGTAGGGGTAGATAGCGTAACGAGCGTCGTGTCATTCCATTGATTTGCATAAACTTTTAAAGAAACAATGCCTAATCGTGTAATCCTTTGCTACTTCATAGCCGAACAGGGTTTTTTCTCAAGCTCTTTTTCCCTGGTCGTATCTCCCTAAGAGCCACCCCTTGTTTTTTTTTCTGTTTGTGAAGTAAATTAAATTGGGTTAAACAAAACACTATTTTATTTTTTTGTATACCTAATTTTCCCAAGTATGATTCTTAAAGCAATGTATTTAATAAAACAAGTAACCACAACGTAGAGGTCCAAATTTTGATAAGACGATCTCGAGCCATAGTCACAAAATAGTTCATTTATTAATTTTTTATAAAACTTGGTTTAACGAACCTGGTGTATTAAGGAGAAATCTTTACAATAAGTATAAGTAAGTATTTATTTCCTGCTACGTAAGTACCTATTCGGTGTTCTTATAGGTATTATAATTATAAATAATAATTATTTTATTATTATATTTGAATCGGTGAGATTAACAGTACAAGTCCCCCGCGACGCGTCGCGACGTGTAGAAGGATCAAGGTTCTTTTGTCAGCTGGGTGCTTTGCGCAAGCTTAAGCTTAAGCAGATCGCAGAACATAATTATGTTCTATATATATATATGTATGTATACATACACATGTGTTATAAACACAGATTATAAAGGTAATAAATTGAAATGTTTTCCTTGGAAAATGGATTAACAATTAACAGTTTTTCAGAGTGAAAGTAAAGAAAATGTTTTATGAGCATTTCACAGTGGAGTCCGAGCCCGAATTAAAGTTATAGTTTACTGCCGGCGAAATTAAAAGGTCAGTACAATGCATAGATTAGATAAAGTAGATTAGATTAGATAGAATAGATTAGATAAAGTATAGATGGCCCACTCTTTAGTTAAAATCGGAACTAAGTTATTTTTAGTTGCGGACATAATCACTGTGGCGCTGCAAGTATATCGCCGGGAATTTTAAATACAATGCAGCGCCATCTATTGCCTAAAAGCTGTACTAACAGTTTAAATTAAAGGAAATAATATTTTTCAAACTGATAAATATATATGTATAAATCAATTATATTTTTAATGAATGCTATATTTTCTTATAAGACTATTATAGATTACTATAACAAAATTCACTCATCTTAAAAGAAAACAAACATATTAAAAATATAATCATTTATATATACATATTAATCAGTTTAAAAAAATGTAATAAATAAAAGACATTATGATTATTATTGATTTGACATGATTTTTATTATGGATATAAAAATAATATTTAAAATTTAACCATTTATATAATATATAAAAATATATTATATGTACATATAAGAAATAAGCAGGTTGGGAAAAATTAAGTGATTTAATTCATAAATTAAATTAACCTTATAATTAAATTGCATAGGAAAATTTACATAATACTAAAAATATTTTTCACAAAAACGACTTTTTTGACCAGTAGGTATATTATACAATAAATAATAAATGATCTTTATTATTAGAAAAAAATAGATTTTAGAAACAAGGTTCTTCAGCCTCTTAGCAAATTTCTTGTTTAACAAAAAAAACAATATATTTTAATCAAATAGAATAAATATTTTTAATGTTTGAGTTTGTAGTTAATACAGTTACATTAAATTAGAAAGTCTAAAAAAAAATACTTTCAAATTGTAATTAAAAAAGACATGAAATTAAATCAGAATTTTTTTATATTTAATATAATTGACGAAATACAAACTCAAAAATTGAAAATAATAATACAAAAAAATACAAAACTAATTAACAGTTTTCTTTAGTTTTGTTATTGCCTCCTTCCTTTTTTTAAATTTTTTGTATCGTTCTAAAGCCATAACTTTAATTGGATCATTGATATTCCTCAAGTCTGTCCCTTTTAGGATTTTATTTATATTTTTTGTCCAAACATATAAGTAAAATGATAAAAACTTTTGAACAAAACAAAAGTTCAGATTATGCTTTTTGCAAGAAAAATTAAGAGGAACAAATTCATTAATCCTTTCTCTTAATTTTTTTTGCAAATTGTTCTTATATGCGATTTTGGGCAAAAAGTGGTGAACAACTTCGTTGCACATCCCAAATATTTGTGTAAAATTGCTATTTGGTCTTAAAAGTGCCTTAGGCCCATAAGATCTTGCCTCAATAAGGCCATGCTCCTTTTCCAACCTTGTTGTTGTTAGTTCCTTTTTAGAACAACTACACTGCCCAATTTTTTTTAACAATTTTCTTGCCATGTATCCTGCAATATAAGAGTGAGTTTGTTTATTTATTTCATTGATATTTGAAAATTGAAATGTTTCTTTAGTAACTTGTGGTGTTTCTAAAGAAACAGCAGGCTCTACAGTTATATTGCAGGATAGAAAATTCTTTAAAGAATTAAGTGCTCCTTCACTTTCATCCTCCTCGCAATTTGCACCTGGAGAGTGAGAAGACACAAAATTGCTAATAATAAGGCTTTTAAAGGAAGCAGTGAAGGAGCTGGGCGTAGGATTAATATTCCTAACCCCATGGCTTCTTATACATCCAAAGAAATTTTCAACAGGATCTTGGTTTAAATTTCTTGTGCAAAGAAATTCAAACTTGTTCCTGTTGAGATTTCTCCAGATGTATTTAAAGCCATGAAGTGTTGTTATCCAATTTTTAACCGTTGGGGGGACAAAATCCTTTCCTTTTCTTTGGAACTTGATGGTTTTCAGGACACCAATGGCTTCATCCCAAAATGCAATATGTGGGGAAGATTTTGTCACCGCACATTTTAGCATTTTACCATGTTCTGGCTTCATAAGTGATCCATTAACACTATCAAAAAGCTTGTCCATGAACATTAAAAAATTGGCAGTCCCTAATGCATTTTGTGGAAGGCATTCGTTTCCTGCAATAAATAAAAAGTTTATATTAAATTTAAGCTAAAATAAGGATTGATTTGTTATTTTTACATAATTTATAATAATTATTATTATTATTACTATAAGGGTTAATTTTGCTATTTTTACATAACTTATTAAAGAACTTACCATATTTTACAAGTCCCCTCATAGTTGAAGATACTCTATGTGAGAATACTTGTGCAGCATGTTTCACCTTCATCTTCTTCATTTTTTCTTTGTAGATGTGGGCATCTGTTAATTTATTTAACATTCGTGTGTCAAAGTCGCCCACATCTAATTCATAGAGACTTTGAACATGCTTCCATGATGCAGTTTGTGTTCCCTCTTTCCAAATAAACGTCACATCATATTCGCTGAAGTTGTTCCTCATTCCCTTGAGCAAATGGGGGCAGTCATAAAGAGGAACAACCTCACTTCCATCAACCTCAAAACCCAAACATCTATTTTCTTTTCCTGATAGATGGTATTTTCTGTCGGTTTCATCCTTTAGCATTTTAATAGCGGTTGAGTTGATGGACAGTTGGTCACACACAGTGGCAACAACTTTCAGACCAATTTCTTGAAGTGATCGAATGACTTCTTTTAAATTCCTAACTATATCAGGAGCACTCATGCCACTTTCGGAAAAATAGTAGCAAATGGGCTGCTTCCATTTTCTTCTTAAGCCCCTGGCCATAAAAACCATAGCATGGTCTGCAAATTTTTCCATTCTCCCTCCTCCACAATCAACAAAACCATCAATGGAGTCTGTTTTTTCATTGTAAGTAAGAGAGGCATCCAGATGCATCTCGTCATACATTACGCTGCAAACCCTGTCAGCTTCATCCATCTTCTGTACAGA